GTGAGCATTACATATTTTAAATATCCACTGAAATCTTAAAATCAAACAATAGTTTAGCTTAACCAGTAAAGAATGTCTGTCTTGAGCACAATTGCTCTTTCAAATCTATATGGGATCAAACTGACAACAGCAACTCAGAAGGTTAGATAGGAAAGTTAAGGGGCAGGGACGATGTGTTCATGGGGGAAGAAAAGATTTAGAAAAGGAGAGTGAGAATGGTTGCATGACTGGAAGAATGTAATCATTGTCACTGAACTGTAGAATATAGAAACTGTTGTATTGGTTTATGTTTTGTTCTGTATATTCTCAACAACAACACAGTAAATTTGAGAAGAATAAAGAAGAAGTAAAGTATAAGGCGTGACCAGACTAATGGCCAGGAGCTCTGGTAGCATAGTGCCTAAGGCATTTGACTGCTAACCAGAAGGCTGGTGGTTCAAACCCACCAGCTACTCCTTGGAAGGAAGCTTGGGCAATCTACTTCTGTAGTGGAAACCCAACAAGGGGTCACTATGAGTTGGATCCGACTCAACGGCAATGGGGATTATTATTTTTGGAGTACCTGGGTGGTGCAAATGGTTAAGTGCTCAGCTATTAAGCAAAAGGTTGGTGGTTATAGTCCACCCGGAGGCACCTAGAAAGAAAGTCCTGGCAATCTTCTTCTGAAAAGATCACAGCCATTGGAAACCCAAAGAAGTGCAATTTTGTTCTGAAATACATGAGACCTCCATGAATCTGAATCCACTTGACAGCAACTGGTTAGCATCTATTAAGTGCTCAATACATGTTGACAGGTGTTAAAATTAGGAAAATTTTAGATCTTGGTCCTAAAGACCCAGTTCAAATTCCTTCTCTGTGAAACACCTTCTGACTTATTTATAATAATAACTTAAGAGATTTTGCTCAGTAAGTGTGTAAAAACGGCATGTCAGAATCATCTAAACCCCTCTAACTTCAGGAGGGGGAAAGAGAATCACCATCAGCATCAGCCCAAGGCTGATTCCTACGAAGAGGAGGTCACACATACTTCCTCTCTACCGTTTTCTGACACCACCCAACCCTCCCACGACACTCTCTACTTCTCTGTTGGGTTTGATAATTCATTGCAATGAACTCACAGGAAAAAAAAAAAAAACACCTTAGAATTATGGGGTTTATTAGGGAAGTAACAGGTTACAATTCAGGGTTAGAAACAACTCAGGACACAGTTCTTCTATCAGGACAACCCTTCTCAGCCATGCCCTGAGGCAGGCCTCTCTCTGGGCCTCAGCTCCTTTGTCCCTCAGTCCCTTGAACCTCTTGGCAGGCCTGGCCTCTGCCCTGCTGGGGCAAGTGTTACATAGGTCTTTAGCTCCACCAGTAAGTGCTAGGAGGCACCCTACTCAGCCAGCAACCCTCCTGCCTGAAGGCATTCAGCTCTGTCACTTTATAGGTTGTGGAGCATAGCTCTGCCAAGTGCCGGGAGGCACCCTACTCCACCACAAGCCTCCTGCCTGAAGGCATTCAGCTCTGTCACTTTATAGGTTGTGGAGCATAGCTCTGCCAAGTGCCGGGAGGCACCCTACTCCACCACAAGCCTCCTGCCTGAAGGCATTCAGCTCACTCACTCCATGGGCTGGGAAGCCCACTGCTCTGTCTCCTGCTGGTCTCCTGGTTCTGCTGCCACTGCTTCTTGCCATCTCTCACTGTCTCCAGTGTTGCAGATCACTGTCTCCTGGGTCTCAGAGGTTCCCAGCACAGGAATCCTGGGTCCAAAGAATGTAGTCACTCCTATCTCTTCTTGATAGTAGTCTGATGCCCCCTCCTGCCTCTGGATAGCTCATTTTAAGACTAATAGGATGGTAAAACTGACCAATCCCTTCATTAGGGTTCCGTGTACCGTATTTGCATAACCCCACCCCTGCCGGGTTTCATGTACTTCATTTGCATTACTAGCAAACTGTCTAATTCTCTTGGAGGGCCATAAGCACCTTATTTGCATTTAAAAAAAAAAAAAACCGACTCACTGCCATCAAATCGGATCCAACTCATAGCAACCCCTCCTTAGGTTTCTGAGATGGCATCACTATGGAAGTAAATTGCCCAACCTTCCTTCCAAGGAGCGGCTAGTGGGTTTGAACCACAAGCCTCCTGGTTAGCAGTCAAATGGCTTAGGCACTATGCCACCAGAGATCCCCTGGCTAGAAGGTTCATGTAAAACTGATCTATCATAATAGCAGGAGCTCTGGTGGCATAGTGCCTAAGGCATTTGACTGCTAGCCAGAAGGGTGGCGGTTCAAACCCACCAGCCACTCCTCAGAAGGAAGCTTGGGCAAACTACTTCCATAGTGATACTGCCTTGGAAACCCAATGAGGGGTCACTATGAGTCAGATCCGACTTGACAGCAGTGCGTATCATAATTGTTGTTGTTGTTGTTTGCCATCGAGTCGGCCCCGACTCATAGCGACCCCTCCTTGGGTTTCCGAGGCAGTATCACTACGGAAGTAGGAATGCCCAACCTTCCTTCCGAGGGGTGGCTGGTGGGTTTGAACCGCCAGCCTTCTGGTTAGCAGTCAAGTGCCTTAGCCACTATGCTACCAGAGCTCCTGCGTATCATAATAGCAACATAAAAATACTTCTTGTTATTTATGTCCCATAGAGTCCTATGAGGTTGGTATTATTATCCACAGTTTACAAGAGGAAATAGCCAGTAAGTGCCAGGGCTAAGATTTGAGCCTCTGGCTTATGACTCCAAAGATCTCTTCTCAGCTCCACACTACAGGTGGAAGAGGTCACTGATCCAGGGATAGAGGGTGCAGTGTCACAGTGTGGAGTCAGGAAGGGCTGGAAAGCAGGGCAAGAAGACATCTAAGAGTGTGTCAGGACCTGAAGCTGGAAAGGCTGCTTTGCAGGGTCAGGTAAGGACATCCACTCCAAGATCATCTGCCCTGAAGAGGAATGGAGGCAAGAGTACACAGAGAAGGAAACCATTAGGACACAAGAGGGCGCCCCTCCCCCTAAATCCAGCCTTGAATTGTTCTGTAGTTTTCATTGGTCTTTGTCCTCGCATTTGATAGAAGAAACTAGGTCCCCAAGAGGCCAAGTGCCCTGCCCAAGGACTGAACCAAACCACAGTTCTCTCTGGTTCAGCATTGATCAAGGTTTGATTTGCAAGCATTCTGTCCACAATTTTCTATGGGGACCCTCTCAGAACTGGGTCAGCCTTGGGCTCTAAAATACAGGCATGAATCAAACTTGGTCCCTGCCCCCAGGGCTTGATCTCCAAACTTTCCTGCCTGAGCATCCCAATTAGTAAAATATGTTTGAGCACACACATTCCCAGTATTATTTACTTATAAATTACATAATATATAATAGCTAACTTTCATTGATCAATTGCAGTGCATTGAGGAGCTCTGGTGGTATAGTGGTTCAAGGCATTTGGCTGCTAACCAAAAAATCAGTGGTTTGAACCCACCAGCTGCTCTGGGGAAGAAAGATGAGGCAGTCTGCTTCTGTAAAGATTTACAGCCTTGGAAACCCAATGTGGGTCACTATGAGTCAGAATCAACTTGATAGCAGTGAGTTTTACAGTGCATTAGGTCATGTTCTCAGTGCTATATACATATTAACTCATATAATCCTCACAACCCTTTGAGGGAGGGTCTAATACTAATACAGAAGAAGAAACTGAAGTACAGAGAGATTAAGTAACATGCAAAAGCCACATGGCTAAAAGGCAAGCAGGCTAGCTCCGGAGTGAGGTGAGATTAAAATACTAATAAGAGAAGTTATAGGAGCTCTGGTAGTGTATTGCCTAAGGCACTTGACTGCTAACCAGAAGGCTGGCGGTTCAAACCCACCAGCCACTCCTCAGAAGGAAGATGGGGCAATCTACTTCCGTAGTGATACTGCCTTGAAAACCCAAGGAGGGGTCGCTATGAGTTGGATCCGACTCGACGGCACATAACAACAACAACACAATAACAAGAGAAGTTATAACAATTTCTTCCTAAACCCCAAGGGATCATCTTGTGCACCCTACTTTGGAAACCATGGCTCCAGTGGTTCCCAGATCAATGAGAGGGATGGTATAATATGATCACTACTTTGAGAAAGAGAAGTATAGGAAGTTGTGGGAGCACAAAGGCAGCAGTTTACACAGGCTGAGAGGTCAGGGGAGACTTCTGGAGAAAGTGATGACTGAGCTGAATGTTTCAGGACATCTTGGAGTTCCCCAAATGAAAGGGCATTCTTGGGAGAAGAAGCAGTGCATGCAAAGGCCCAAAGAGCTAAGAACATGTAGCATACTGGGAACTATGAGAATTTTGGCATGACTGGAGTGCCAAGTGCCAAGGTGGAGTGGATTTCTCCTCCCAGTGTTGCAGTGAGGCTGCACACACATGATAGAAGTGAACATGCTTTTAGGTTTTTATGGGGAGAACAGACAATTAATTCACTGCAGCCTGGACAGAGTCTCAGCTGCTCAGCTTTCTGGTCCTCAGCTGTCAATCCCTCTATAACCCAGATGGCAAAAGGTGTCCCTCTAGACCCCTTGAAAATCTGATTGAACTGGGCCTGGACCCCATTCCACATTTTAGGACTGTCAGAGCTCTTCCTTCTTCTCTACTCTTTCCATGAATTCCAAATCTTACTTCCTTGACTTCAGTTCCTACAACCCCAGAACCTTAGCCTTCTGCCTCATGTGGATTTCCATTAAAATAATCCGATCAAGCCAAGCATTTCATGGACTTAATACATTTATTGACAATTTAGAGATCTTGAAATCACATCACATGTCACACAACCACCTGCCACCCCCAAATGTTCTCATTCAGTCTTCAGAGCCCTCCCAAAGCCTGCATTCCCAACATTTGACCCTCCCTGCACATGCAGCACTCCACCTCCCACCAGGGGCTGGGTTCAGTCTCATATCTCCACATAAGCCCACTATCTCCCTGCCAGGCTGGCTTGCTTTTCTGTACCTCCACTCTCCAACAAACAGGCACCTACTCTCCCATTACCCAGGCTGCCGCAGCCTGCTCCCCAGCCAAGCCCAGAAGTTGTCCTTTCTTTCATCTCCCTTGTACCACATGTAGTAGTCTCCTCGGCGGAGCAGCCAGGCTAGTCTATGGTAGCGGGGGAGATGGTGGAGGGAGACAGGCTCCAGGAAGACCAGCAGCAGTGCTGGTGGGTAGGGGGCAGCCAGCAGGAAGGAGGTAGCCAAGCGGAGCTCCAGGCGGCAGCGAGGTGTGCACAGAGCCTCTTGACTCAGCACACAAAGCATGACTCGGCTGCCCACCATGCTGTCTGCCACATTGTCTGCCACGTCTTTGCCTGGCTCAAAATCCCGCTCAGGAAGGCAGACACGCAGGCCCCAGCCAGCCGGAAGGCAGCCTTCCAGAGTGGGCAGCAATTCCTGGACCACCCAGCCCTGGTCTTGCCTGCAGTGGGACACAAACACATCATAAAGGAACAACTTATCCTCACCCCTCTGATCCCTCAGACCCTGGAGCCAAGCCCTGAACAAGGCCTGGAGATAACGGATCCAGTTCCTGGCCTCCTGTAGCAATGGCCAGAAGATCAGCAGAAGTACCAGGACAAAGCTGCCCAAAAAGAGCCCTAGCTCCAAAGTCTTGGGGCAGTGGCTTCTGAGAAAAGGGAAAAGGGGACTCTTGGAGCCGCCTCCAGCTTCTGGCTGGCACAGCTGGGGTGATACTATGTGCACATATGTTCTGGGGGACCGCTCGAGCCAGTGACCTACCCAGGCATTGGCACACTGGCAAGCCAAGGACGCAATCAGAAAATACATGTACTGGGGCATCTGGGGGCTTTGTTCCTGGAGGCTGTCATCCAGCACAATGCCTTTCTCCCAGTCTAGCACTAAGACCTGGAGACTGCCAAGGCGCTGGAAAGCAGCAGCAGACAGTGTCTCCAGCCCTGTTTGTTGCAGCTGCAACACCTCCAGCCTGGGCAACTCACCCACCAGCTCCTCAAGCCGCACTGGGCGTGGCTGGGCACGGGACTGCAGACCTTGCAGCTTCAGCTCCTGCAGGCTGGGCAGCCCTGTGATGCAGCAGGGTCTAAGGCTGTGCCCAGAGCCCCTTACCCACAACTGCTTGAGCCTGGGGAGCTGCCAGAGGAAGAAGCTGGAGGTACCCTGTGAGCAGAGGGCCTCCAAGCTATTGCCAAGCAGGGAGAGTTGATGAAGAACAGGAAATATCTTGGAGACATTTTGTACCTCCAGCTGCAGTCCCCAGCCTTTTAGGGTCAGGGTCTGTAAGACTGGAAAGACATCAGGAACCAGCATCCAAGGCTTCATGCCTGAGATTGTATGAAGCTCCAAGCTGACCAACCCCACAGGCAGAAGCAACTTCCAGGGTGGCCCAGAAGGGAGCCTCAGTCTCAAGTTGTGCAGCCTTTCTAGATCCCGGAAAGCAAAGGTTAAGTTCAGCACCATCTGAGTGTCTAGGAGGTTTAGGGTTGTCAGTGCGGGTAGAGAAGCCAGCCAGTCCTCACCCAGGGCTATGTGTAGGTTCCCGCTCAAGTCCAATGTCTCCAGCTTCCTCAGGCCCTGGAACACCTGACTGTCCAGGTAAGCCAGCTTGTTGTCTTGAAGTAATAGCTCCCGCAGGTGGGGCAAACAGGAGAAGGTGTCTGGGGGAATAGTATACAGCCCATTTTGGGACAGATCCAGGGTCTGCAGGCCTGACTCAGCCTCTGTCCCATTCGTGCACAGCATGGCAATCTTGACTTTGTTGGCTGCCAGGTTTAGTGTCTGAAGTTTCGGCATGGCAGTTAGGAAGCCTGGTGGCAGGTCACTCAGAAAACTGTTCTGAAGAGTCAAGCTCCTCAGACTGTGACATGAACTCAGAGCCTCAGGAGCTATGTTTCCTATTCGGGTAAGTTGCAGATGCAGCTCTTGCAGCTCAAAGTGGGCAATTACCTTGGCAGGCAGCTCAACCATGTTAGGTTTCTTCACAGACAGGACATCCAGCCTCTGCAGCCCAGATTCTACCACAGCAGTTACCTCCATTTTTGTGTCAGCCAGAAGCAAAGTCCTCAGCTGGAGTCCCTGGAGGGCCCCAGGTCTGGTCATGTTCAGCCGGTAGTTGAATGACAAGTCCAGTGTGTCCAGGGACCAGGCATCCCCAGAGGAGGAGCCCAACACCAGGTCTGGGAAAATATCAGCCAGCACCCCCACATTCTGCAGGCAGCTGTACGTCACACCCAACCATCGTAGACTGGGGGGGAGCCGGACACCCAAGCTCCCATCCAGGCAAGGGCCAATGAAAGCAAGGTGATGGAGGGAGCTCAGGTTGCCAAGGGCATCAGGGGGTAAATATAGAAAATCTGTGCGGCGGCCTATGAAATGCAGCCGCTGCAGCTGCTCTAAGCCCCGGAGGGCTCCTGGCAGGAGCTGGGTGAAATGCAGATTCAACCCCAGGACCTTGAGCCCAGGGAAGCGGGAGAAGGCATCTGGGGGCAGGACAGAAATGGAACCAGAGAGGCAGAGCCCCTCCACATGCTGTGGCACAGCCTCCAAGGTCTGTGTTAGATTGGTCACCAAGATGCATGAGGCAAGGAAGGGCAGGCTGGAGTCCATGGGGCACAGCAGGAAGTATCGGGAGACCAGAGGCAGCCGAGAACCCTCAGTCACTAGGCAGTTAGAAGCAGTCCAGGCTGCGGTCATTGGAAGAGACAGGAGCAGACCGGGCAGCAGCAAGTGTTTCCCCATCTCAGTATCAAACCTGGTCCACAGAAAAGCACAATCAGAACCCCAATCTTTGTTCCCCTCCCTGATTGGAGAGCAACTCACAGCCCACCCACCCTTTACACACACACAGTACTCACAGCAGTGACAGAATGCACAGCTCCAGCTATGCCCAGGAGAATCTGGAAGCAGGATCAGAGGACCACAATGTTCCTAAGCTTTAAAACTGCTAAAAAGCTAAAGGGAAGTGTGGAACCAGACTAGGAGATTGTTATAGCTGGGGACCCAGGGATCAGGGAAAGGAGGAAGTACATTAGTGATGAAGAAGAACCCAAGTCTCACTTCCCTATAGTGAGAAAGCAAGTGGCATTTCTGAGCACAAGATTGGGAGCCAGAGGTCCAGGATCTCATTCTGCCATTTTCCAGGGCCGTGTACCTCATTTCTCTGAACCTCAGCTCTCTCATCTGTAAACTCTGTAATGCCTGGTTCACAGAAATCCTGCCAATTATACATGGGAGAATAATGAGGCTTCTCTCCTGTTGTTATCGTCAGGTGACATCGAGTCGTTTCTGACCCCATGTACAACAGAATAAACACTGCCCAGTCCTATACCAGCCGCACAATCATTGCTGTGTTTAAGCCCATTGTTCAGCCACGGTGTCGATCAATCTCATTAAGGATATTTCCCTTTTTCGATGAACCTCCACTTTACCAAGTGTGATGTCCTTCTCCAGGGACAGGTCCCCCCTGATAACATGTTCAAAGTACATGAGACAAAGTCTTACTGTCTTCACTTCTAAAGAGCCTTCTGGTTGTACTTCCTTTGAGACAGATCTGTTCATTCTTCTGGCAGTTCATAGTACATTTAATATTCTTTCCCAACACCTTAAGTCAAAGTTATCAATTCTTCTTCAGTTTTCCTTATTCATCGTCCAGCTTTCCCATGCATATGAAAACAAAAAAACAAACTCACTGCTGTCGAGTAGGCCCTGACTCATAGTGACCCCTCCTTGGGTTTCCGAGGCAGTACCACTACAGAAGTAGATTGCCCAACCTTCCTTCCAAGAAGTGGCTGATGGGTTTGAACCACCAGCCTTCTGGTTTGCAGTCAAATACCTTAGGCACTAATGCCATGTCTTGGTCAGATCAGGTGACATTGTTGCTTTTTAACACTTTAAAGAAATCTTTTGCAGCACATTTGCCCAATGCAATACACTGACTGGTTTCTTGACTGCTACTTTCATGGGTGTTGATTATGGCTCCAAATAAAACAAAAGTCTTAACAACTTCAGTATTTTCTGTTTATCACCACTTTTACTATTTCTTCCTCTTATTTCTAATAGCGTGAGGGTCTTTGGTAAATCAGAATTAAAAAGCAGATGTTTTGTAAATAAAATAATAAGTTGCAATGATGCCATAATGTTGTTGCTGTTAGGTGCCAGCAAGTTAGCTCCAACTCATAGTGACCCTATGTACTACAGAACAAAACACTATGTAGCCCCGGGCCATCCTCACAATTCTTCTGTGCTTGAGCACATCATTGCAGTCACTGTGTCAATCCATCTCATTGAGGGTCTTCCCCTTTATCACTGACCCTCCACTTTGTTGTTGTTGTTGTTGTTATGTGCCATCAAGTCAGACCTGACTCATAGTCATCCCTCCTTGGGTTTCTGAGGCAGCATCGCTACAGAAGTAGATTGCCCAACCTTCCTTCCTAGGACCCTCCACTTTACTGAGCATGATATCCTTCTCCAGGGAACAGTCCCTTCTGACAATTTGACCAAAGTAGATGAGACAAAGTCTGGCCATTCTCACTTCCAAGGAGTATTCCAGCTGTACTTCATCCAGTACAGATTCGTTGGTTCTTCTGGCAGCCAATGGTATTTTCAGTATTTTTTGCCAGCACCACAATTCAAAGGCATCAATTCTTCTTCAGTCTTCCTTATTCATTGTCCAGCTTTCAAATGCACATGAGGTAATTGAAAATACCATAGCTTGGGTCAGGGGTACCTTGTCTTTAAAGTGACATCTTTGCTTCTTAACATCTTAAAAAGGTCTTTTGCAGCAGATTTGCCCAGTGCAGTACAACATCTGACTTCTTGACTGCTGCTACCATGGTTGTTAATTGTGGATCCAAGTAAAATCAAATCCCTGATAACCTCAACCTTTTCTCTGTTTATTGTGATGTTGCTTATTGGTCCAGTTGTAAGGAGTTTTGTTTCCTTAATATTGAGGAGTAATCCATAATAAAGATTGTAGTCTTTGATGTTCATCAGTAAGTGTTTCAAGTCTTCTTCACTTTCAGCAAGCAAGGTTGTGTCAGCTGCATATCGTAGGTTGTTAATGAGTCACCTTCTGATCCTGATTCTGTGTTCATTTTCATATGGTCCAGCTTCTTGGATTATTTGCTCAGCATACAGACTGAATAACTATGATGAAAGAATACAATCCTGATGCACACCTTTCCTGATTTTAAACCATTCAGTATCCTCTTGTTCTATTTGGATAACTGCCTCTTGATCTATGTGCAGGTTCCTTATGAGCACACTTAACTGTTCTGGAATTCTCATTCTTCACAATGTAATTCATAATTTGTTGTGATCCACACAGTTGAATGCCTTTGCATAGTCAATAAAACACAGGTAAACATCTTTCTGATATCCCTTGCTTTCACCCAAGTTCCATCTGACATCAGCAATAATATCCCTTATTGTACATCCTCTTCTGAATCCAGCTTGAATTTCTGGAAGTTCCCTGTCAATATACTGCTGCAAAGGTTTTTAAATTAACTCCAGCATATTGTTTGATAATTTCCACATTCTTTTGGATCATCTTTCTTTGGAATGGGTACAAATATGGATCTATGCTAGTCGGTTGGCCAGGTAGCTATCTTCCAAATTTCTTGGTATAACTAGTAAGTGCCTCCAGCAATCCATCTGTTTGCTGTCAGTGACAGGATAATATCCATGCACCTGCAAAGAAGATCAGTTAATACTACTGTCATTCAAATTTACGCACCAACCACTAAAGCTAAAGATGAAGTAATTGAGACTTTTTACCAACTTTTGTTGTCTGAAGTTGATAAAACCTGCAATCAAGATGAGTATTGACTATTACTGGTGATTGGAATGCAAAAGTTGGAAACAAGGAAGAATTATCAGTAGTTGGAACATATGGCCTTGGTGAGATGAATGACGCTGGAGATCATATGACAGAATTTTGCAAGACCAATGACTTATTCATTGCAAATACCCTTTTCAGCAACATAAACTGTGACTATACACATGGACTGGTAGCATAGTGGCTAAGACACTTGCCTGCTAACCAGACGGCTGGCGGTTCAAACCCACCAGCCACTCCTCGGAAGGAAGGTTGGGCAATCCTATTTCCATAGTGATACTGCCTCGGAAACCCAAGGAGGGGTCGCTATGAGTCGGGTTTGACTCGATGGCACATAACAACAACATACACATGGACACCAAATGAAATAAACTGAATCAAATTGACAACACTTGTAGGAAAAGGTGATGCAGAAACTGAATATCAGCATTCAGAACAAGGCCAGGAGCTGACTATGGGACATCCACATGGACCATCAGAAGAATAGATTTGGTGCATTGAACACCAGTGACTGAAAACCAGACAAGTTGTGGGATGACATCAAAAACATCATGCATATAGAAAGCAAAATGTCATTAAAAAGACGGGAAAGGAAGAAAAGACCAAAATGGTTGTCAGAGAGACTCTGAAACTTTCTTTTGAATGGAGAGTAGCTAAGACAAATGGAAGAAATGGTTAGATAAAAGAGCTGAATAGAAAGGGTGGCTACAGAAGACAAAGTAAAGTATTATAATGAAATGTGCAAAGACCTGTAGTTGGACACTGGAGCTGCTGCTAGACTGGAACAAGTTGTAGCTCTCTGCTTCCCCTCTTTCCCATTATCAGAAAGGAAGACTTTTTTTTTTCTTGATTTTTAATGTCACTACCTTATGATTCAAAGTCATAGGTATGGGCATCTGATTGGTAAAAACTAGTACATGGGCCTGCATGACAGCTCAAAGAAGGTTGAGAAAGCAAGCCTGTCATTTTCATCTTCCCTAGTGAGAAGCAGATTTCCACCTACTATGAAGGCAGTTCAAACCCACCAGCCACTCCTCGGAAGGAAGGTTGGGCAATATACTTCTGTAGTGATACCACCTCTGAAAACCAAGGAGGGGTCGCTATGAGTCAGATCTGACTTGACAGCAGTGAATTTGGTTTTTTTTTTGTTTTGTTTTGTTTTTTTTTTTGGTTTTGGTATGAAGAGTAAACTCCCCAAAAAAAGGAAGCATAGAAAGAGGACCAGGATGCAGGACATCCAAAGAGAGGGTAACCACTCACTACCCTGAATGAAACTCACTGAAGTCATACTGTGTGTCTAGAACAGTATGGATAGAGGATAATGCTTGTTACCCATTTCTGATGTTTTCTTACACATGATGGAACCTCCATTGGTATAAGCCTCCTGGCTTGCTTTCCTTCCTGCATACCTCCTCAGGGAGGAAGTGGAACTTAACATTATTGGTGAGTTGGGGAGAGGAAGTGGCCACGTGTAGTTCTGTGCCTTCCTCTTTCCTTTCCTTTTGGAGTCCACATCTGCTCTTTCATGATCCAAGTTTTGTAAAGGCAGACACAAATTGGGGGAGATATACCCTACACTGTCTAAAACTGGATGGAAAAAAAGTTAATTCTAGAGTTCACTGTTTGGAAGTTTCATATGACTATAGCTCTAAGCCACATGCCCCAATATCAGCTTTATTGATTTATTATTTGGCGTATCTTTTTTTTTTTTTTTAATTGTGATTTGGGTGAAAATTTACAGAGCAAATTCACTTTCCACACAACAGTTCACATACACTTTGTCTCATGACATTGACTACAATTTACCACAATGCAACACCTCCCCTCCCACTTCCTCCGGATAGTTACCTCTTCCCTGTGTCCATCCCTCCATGCACTTCTGCCCCCTGAGCTGTCTCCCTGT